TAAAAACCCTTTAACAGCGGATTTTGTGCATCGTGTTTGACTTTTCTACAACTACTTTTGCGTTGTTAATTCAAGGGACAAACCACGACGTTCATTACTAGTCGTTGAATATTTAATACAATGACCTATTTTGCCTGCCGTAGGTAGCCCAAGTTTCACAACATTATTTGCATGTCGTAGAATATGTATATTTTTTTTAAATATATATATATATATATATTCAACAAGTTTTATTTCACATGTTCTGTATAATCTAAGAAAACATTACAAACAAGCTTCACAAATGTATATATATATATATATATAAGCATTAATCAAACACCAAAATATACATTTTTTTTTTGGGTGAATAAGTCATAAAATAAAATAGGAAAATATATTCCAAGGGGCATACCCCAGGCCCTACCATAGCTATACAATAAAACCAAACTAACAAAAACTACAACCAAGCTAAAGACCTAGAAGACAGAAAAAGCAAAGGGGCCAAACAACCTGTTCAACATCCATATCTAAAAGAAAATATGGAGGTAGAACAAGAACAAAAGGGCCCATATCAGCAAACAGAGAAAACCAGGAAAGCAAAACCCACTAATTCCAAACAACTGAGCCAAGGCATTACTTCATCACAACCAATAAGCAGTGGCGACACAAAGACCTGTAGACAAACTAAAAAGCCTCCATATGTATGAGTAGCTGCAATAGCTTTGTACCAAGGCCTTCAGGATCATAACATATATCACTATCTGGTTACAGCAAAACAACAAGCTTCATGGGGACACCATAACCGACAACTACCCAAAGAACAGATCTCCTGCACAACCTACAGAAGAAGAGACAGTAACACTGATACACAATTGAAATAAAAAAAAAATTTCCAAAATCACAAAACATAGAGAGGAGGAAAGAAAATAAATAGAACAACGGATTGACCCAAGGCACAAAGAACTAGAATTGGAACTGGCGCAGAGTTGTAGCCTGGCTCCCATATAGCACCATCACTCTCTGATAAAACCAAGAAGAATTTGCTAAAAATTGACTGGGCTACCTAGATCATACCTAGCCAAACCATCTGCACAACCTGGAATATCCAAACACAGTAAGCAAAATGAAATGAACTAGCAGCAACCACACTTAGTATATAGTTAGATCACTCGACCACTCAGGAAAATAAATAATAGTGAAACACAAAAAACAAAAATTTATCCTCATAGACACTAGGCTCACAAAACAAAGAATTCCCTAGCAATAGCACCAGCGATGAAGAAGTTGCAAAACCAACAAAGTAAAGACACAATTTATAACTTACCTTCTCTCAACCCACAACTCACAGCCAACTCCACACCCTAAGTATGTGCTCACAAACTCAACTCTCTTGTCCTAAATGAAGGACATCTTTGCAACTTGCATAGCAAACAATTAGGAAAAACACAGTACATACAAAACTCATTTTGAGCTCATAGCCACTCAACCCAGAATATGGAATCTCACATCACAACCCTTAAAACTCCTATCTTCTACATTTTTTAATTCAACAACAGCCATACACCAGCACACATGGGTGGAAAAAAAAAAACGACCTGCAACAAAAAGGTTACAAAACACAGCCAACTCCTAAAGTTGAAGCCTCTTTAAGGATAGAGGTTGGAAGTCTCCATTTGTACAAAAACCACTCATCGTTTGAATTTCTCTTCAAGTTTTTGAGAGATAGAACTCTAAACCTGATCATGTTAACAATTTTTACAACAACAATATCTTCAGGAACTTTCTCTTTTGTAAAAAACCTTGTTATTCAAGTATCTTACAGGTGCAAGGAAGAAGAAGAGGAAAGTTTGGATATAGAGAGAGGAAAATGAGAACCAGCAGTAAACCACATTTTCTGGAGGCCGGATCCACCCCACCCATTTCTCTCCAAAATCGAAGTTTTTCATCATTGAGTACAAGAACTCCCAATTTACGGAATCATACGCCTTTTCAAAATCCAGCTTTAGGATGAGACCTTTTTTCTTTGACCTTTTCCACCAGTCCACCACTTCATTGGCAATTAAAACCCCATCTATAATGTGCCTTCCACTCAAAAATGCAGTTTGAACTTCACTAATGATCTTAGGCAGCACTTTCCTCAGCCTTCTTGATAAGACTTTAGCTAAGATTTTGTATACGGAGGTAATCAAGCTGAATCAGACAATTCAAGAACCACGGAGGAAAGAGAAGAGAACTTATGGCATATGTGGTGCCATTTCCGAATACACTTTTTTCCAGTTTTTAGTCCCTTAAAAAAGACAAAAAAAAAAAATTTAAAAATCCATTTTGCTTAGTGTTGCTCAGGCAATTGTTTCACAGACTTAAAATAATAATAATTATTAAACAACAGCCAACGAAAGGGAGAAGCATACACTCCTCCCAACAAAATAAAAGGGAGAAGGTAGTATTAAAATCATTAATAATCTCTTTCCGATAATATATGATGCTCTCTCTTAACCAATTACTGTCAGTTTCCTATTGAAAATGTTCCTCATTTAATCTCTTTATCATTGCTAAAGCATTTATTAAAACTTGAAAACAGGACACCTAAAGCAAATGACTTGCCATCTATGGCTAGGTGTGGTCTTTTCAAAGTAAAAGGACCAAAGTTTAACTCCTCATGGATTACTATAATAATGCAGTTTTCTTTTTTACTTTCAAAGGATATGGTTTCCCCAACATTTGCAGCAGGAAAATGTCAAGAGAGTATTTCAATGATTTTATTAAGAAAAAATCTGTCACTCAAATCCACCTTATAGTGACCTATTATATAGACACAACTTACACGCCTAAATAAATTAAGTTATCCATAGCAATCAACAAATCTGGTAACGTCTAAGACCGAAACTATTAGCCTGTCAAAACAAGAGTCATTCTTCCTTAATGTTCAATATTATAGATGACTGCTCCATAACTTCACTTGTTAAAGAATTGAAAGGAAACTTATATAGGGTTGTTTTTAACTAGTAACAGTTGGCAAGCCTGTCAGCATGGCACTCATTTTTTTGAAAACAAAAACACTACTATAAATTTTTTATTTTTATTTATTTATTTTTATGCATATGCACCCGAGCATTCCACAGTGCTTACCAATTCAATAGCAGAGGTGACTCAGTTACTCAAATCTCCACTTTATTGAGTTTTGAACATATGATAAAACTAAAAGCCATGATAATATCATTGTTGAAGGTGATGCTAAGGCAGTATATCAGAGCCTTAATGGTTCTATGCAACCTCCTCAGGACATTGCTGTAATTGTACAAGACTGTCGAACATTAAGTCTTTCTTTCAATTCAGTCTGTTTTAGTTTTGTTCCACGTATTTGTAATGGTGTAGCGCATGATATTGCGCACCATGCTCTGTCGATTGATGAGGCTCGAGTGTGGGATGTTTGTTTTCCATCCTGGTGTTTACACTCCCATCAATCTGATATTGGGCCGCTAGACCCATTGCAATTATCTCTATGAATAAAACTCTTCTTTCTTTGGCAAAAAAAAAAAAAAAAAGCTTGAACATCTTTACTACAGATGGAAATGACATGATGGTTATTCTTCATATTCATCTCACTTGCCACCATTTTCATCTGGGACTCCAGTTACAGCTTGCTGCAATTTTTAGATAAGATGAATGTCAGTGCCAGTTTTAATGAGTAACATGAACCCTCCATATGTTTCAACTAAAAACATTAGTGGTGGGGTGTTGGAGGTAGTGGTGGTGGGGTGTTGGAGGTAGCGATGATGGTGATGGTGATGGTGGTGGTCAGCCTAGTATAGAAAAGGTTTTCCACTTTCAAAGGTGAAATTTTTTTTCACTCAAATAAACTTGTTTTCCTTTAATCCTGAAAAAAAAGATTTGTTGACTTTCATTTTCCATCATACTAAATTCTAGAAAATGCAAAAAATATTTTTCAGAAAATGTTTTTTGTCAAAACAAACTGAGCATAAGATGAAAACCAGCTTGATAATTCATTACCTGAATGCATGACAAGGTGTATTGCACATCACTTTCTGAAATTTGGTAGTGAAGGACAAGTCTAATTCTGCAACCATATAATACTTGCATTAAAAAAAAAATACTCAAAAAAATAAAAAAAAATACTAACACTAACTTTTTGTATTTATACAGTGTTCATGAATATTCAAGGATTCTGCAACCATTTAATACTTGCATTAAAAAAAAATACTAACACTGACTTTTTGTATTTATACAGTGTTCATGAATATTCAAGGGGTAAAATCCAAAAAAAATACTATCTATTATCCCATGTTTTATTAAGAAAAAAGAGGAAGTTGATGGATTTTAAACAATGTTTTTGGGGTAAAACACACATGGATAAGCTTTCTGGTATCACAAGTATGCCATGTTCTTCCAAATTCTTGCAGAGTTTTGGGGCTATAATATTTGTGCCCTCTAAAATATCAAAATATAACTGGTCATAAGAAAAGGAAAGTGAATTTAGAATTTGTTTATATTCTAAGAACGGAGAGTTAAGATTCACATTTGAATAGAAAAAGAACAAACAACTCAAGTATATGTAGTAAACAGACTGTGAGAACACAAATTCAATTGAAATGATCCAAAGTCAATCATTCAACTAGCTAAGAAACAAAACTAACGCATGCCATTGGAGATTTTTATTCCTCTCTTATTGTTTGGGGGAATTTGGTTCTCATCCATTGCTAATAATTGAGCCAAACGTGTTGCAACAACCTATTACCCAGAAGCTGAATGGAATTGGGAAGGTCTCGAATGGGATTTGATCCCTAAAACTCGAGCATTTTGCATGCTCGAGTATGAAAATTTCTGCTGCCACACTGTTGGTCTTTACAACTTAGTTTAAACTAGAAAATATGATTTGAATTCTAATCTCTGTCCCAGAAAGATTAAATGGAGGGGGAAAACATGTATTAACCAAACAAACTACTTATTCTACATTGTATATTACCATATGTCAATTTCAGGTCACTTACTATGTTGCTCTCCCCTATTGACATCCACTTTTAGTCCTTCAATTCTATTCAGTCCTTCTGAAAACCAAATTTATAAAAATGTAAAAAAGAAACATCAGCCAAAATAACACATGAATTTATGGGTCTGCCAGTGTATGTATATGATAATGTATTAAACAGGAGAAAAAATTTACGTGCTAAAAACTTAGCATTGTTGTGATCACTCTCGAGCATTCCAACATTCTCTTGCACTGCGACTAAAGCAGTAGCACAAAGGACGCCAACTTGTCTCATCCCACCACCTAAGGTCTTCCTTAGAGTCTTTGCCTACAAAAGAGAGTGAGAGAGATAGGTATCAAGTTTCTACAATGAGAGAAAAACAGAATTCTTAATTGTTGCAAAAATATCAGTAATACCCTAGTAATAAAATCTTTTGAACCAACAATGACAGTTCCAGCTGGAGCGCCCAATCCTTTTGATAGACATACCTGGATTACATAATGTGAAATAATGTAATATAACAAAATAGAGAAGATAACTTGTTCAATTATGTAATTTAATTTTCTTCACGCAAGCTTCAAATAAAAAAAATAGGTCCAACTAAGAACTAAGTTGTAAAAACAATATGGAATGAGAATCACCTCCAATGACATAAAAACCAGAATGAACTACTTTCCCATTTTGAACTATCAATAGTGGTAAAAATGAATTTTGTTGACGAATTCTTTCACCATCACATTGAGCATCAAATGCCACAAAACAAATCTATTTTCATTCCATACTCATATATGAGCTGATGTTTTAGGGTCCCCTTACAAATATATTGCCAAATTTAACAGGTGAAATTCCAGGCATACCCATTTGAACATGTAGCCGTAATGATCATTCCATGTATATGGAATATTCATGCCAAATATTCCGGCCACCAAAGAATAAATGGATAAAGAAACAGTTCCTGAACTTAGAAAAAGCTCTAGCTGTAGCCATGCAGTAAAAATATGAAAAATTTCTATTGTCAAGACATAAACTCTACAAAGTTCAGTTACTTAAAACAGACAAACAAGAAAATAATCAAGACTATCAATATCATAAAAAGCACGCATAATAAAATACCTGAATCAACTGGTTTCGATGATTGTCAAGCTACAAAAAGGGAACATGAAGTGTTTTTAGACTAACATAGGTAAATCCCAACCAATTTAACTCAATCAATTAATTCAAATTTTATGTCCCAGTTTACCTGAATATTAATGTAATCCTTTGTATCATCAATATACTCACGCAGCTGCAAAATTTGTGAGCATGGGTTTTAGTTGTGAGCATGGGTTTTAGCGGTTTTTCTATGTGCAATAAACAAATAATAAATAGGGAGTTTGACAATTTCTATGTGCAATAAACAACTGAATAGGGAGTTTGACAGTTTTGATGAAGATTGCCAGAATCTAGCTACTTTTAATAGACACTAATCAGGATATTACTTGTGCAGAAGACACATTTTTCCTCAGAATGAAGCAGACCATACAATACCATTAAACCCAGCTTGGAAACAAAAAGGTTATGCTCAGAAAGAAGGAGACCAGTGAAGAACTACGCAAAAGCCAAGATTGAGCAGTGATGGATTACTAAGGTTTGACTTGCGCCCAAATAAGCTTCCTGCCTAAAGTTAACTTTTTCCTTTTTTTTTTTGTTTTTGTTTTGATCAGCAACATTTAGGCTCCAATTGGATATGTGGATTTGAAATGAAGGGATTTGATGTTCAACTTTATAAAATTATAAGAAAGTTGATTAATGGATATAAATTGATAATTCTAATGTGAAGGATGCATAGAGATAGGAAAGATGAATTTTGTTAATAAATTTTACAAGTACAATCATTCATTAAAGGATTTCAAATAACCATATTCACTTAGATATTTCAAATCCATTAATCTAAAACTCTCAAATCCATTGTTGAAATCCATATCTAGAATATTACATTGAACTAAACGTTATACTCCTTGAATGAGTGATATCAAATCCATTCATTTCAAATCCATGTATATATATATATATATACCCTAGTGTTTCCCCTGTATATCAGATTTTTATCCATAGAGGTCTTGGCAAAAGAGAAATAATCAAAAGGAGATGCGGGAGGAGGAAGGGACATGGGTCATATAGCTCTTGGAATCTACAAGATGACCTGAATTTCATGACCAACTTAGTTAGAGGTGAATGACAAATAGGTCATGAAAATTCCACACACAAAGAAAAAATTAACAAGAAATGGAACATGTATACATTTTTAATTGATCATTCTGTGTATCTAAAAATTATCCTCATAATAGAATTAAAAAATATATACTTTTTTTTTCAAATGATGTTAAAATACAAATTATCGCCATTCTAATAACAGAGAAGTAAATAACGTGAACTCAAAAACCTTCATATTCGAGCTTTCTGTCACTTGATTTTCAAATAAATTGATGTCAAGACAGTTTAGGTTTTGTTTGAAGGGAAAAACTGTCACCAAAACTCCGCCATCTACTCCGCCGCCACCAGCCCCACCACCGCCTTCACCGCCCCTCCCTTCACCGCCCTCTCCTTGTTCACCTTCACCGTACACAGCTTGTACAGCGTCGTCATCGCGTCCTTCTTCCCCCTATTCGATCCATTCATCAACAGCGTTATCAATGGCGGAATCGCTCCGCAAGCTCCGATCGAAATCTTTTTCTCGTCGATCAACGACAAGTTCAACAACGCACATGCCGCTCTGAATCTTCGAAATCGCTTCGAAATCGCTCTGAACAGCCGATTGATTCGATCTGATCTTCGATAATTCTGCTTCGAAATCGCTTTGGAACAGCCGATGGAGCTTTGTGTTCTTTGAAGCTCTCTTCAGAACAGCCGATTGGATTCTTTCGACGAGATGAAGTTTTTTCTAGAGTACTCTCCTCGTCTTCTTTCGTCGCTTGAGCAGAGAGCAGATTATGTGTTGCGTATAAGATAAAGAGATGTGTGGCATAAGAGAGAGAAAGGGCAGCAGATTCATGAATAAGGGTTTTCAAATAGGGGGCGTGTATGCACGCATTCGTGGGCGTTTCTAAACGCCTTCCATTACAAAAACGGTGGCCGGTTTTGGTTAAAAAATATACGGCGATATATTAAAAACGCGTTAAAAATTTAAAAAATAAACGTGACGTTTAAGTAAAACGTCGTTAATTAACGCCGTTAAATCCCTCATTGTCCCTGTAGTGTTTGGTACGTCAACGTTGATTGTTTCAAATATATTATATAATTTTTCAATAAGGCAACATACTCTCACTGTGGCGATAAACTATAATGCACTACAAGTCATTGTGGGGTGTATTCAGATTTTCAGTCCTAATATTTCTAGCAAAATTTCTTATCATATAACGTGATTATTCTCATATGTCATTAAATTGTTATATAGTTATTATTATTTTGTTTTCTTATACATTAGTATCTTCTTTTGATGAAGTTAAATAGCAGTTTTTTTTTTATTTTTTTTATTGTTAACCTTTTTTAGAGTCATATTATCTCTTTATTTTTTTATATTGTTTTTTAAAAAAAACTAAAAAAAGTCAAAAAAATTAATTTTTAATCTATTTCTCAAAAACATATCTATACGATATTATATTTTATTATCATATTATGGTTTTCTCCTTGTATATAAGGGAATTTATACATTGTTTATAACATCTAATATAATATTCTCCTTACCTCTGCTTAAGCATATTGTATTATGGTATCAAACTATAAGATCCAACCCAATCTTTCTAGTTTAGCATAGGCAACCGGCACTACAAGAAAACTACCAATTGGCGACGCAACTTTTGCCGACTAAAAATATTTTGGTTGCAAAAGTTGTGGAATTGGCGACCAAAAATTATGTTAGTCGGTAAAGTTACAAATATTTTAGCTACTAAATTTTTTTGGTGGGCTATATTAATTTTTGGCGACTAAAAAAAAAATTTAGTCGGCTAAAAATCTCACAACTGGCGACTAAAAAAAATTTAGTCGCTAAATTTGCCAGTAATTGGCGCTAAAAAATATTTTTGTCGTGAATTATAGTTTTGGCACTAAAATAATTTAGTCGCTGAAAGAAAAAATAAAACGTTTATTTTTTATCCTTTTCGGCGACAAAAAAGTTTGGGTCGGCAAAAATTTAATTTCAGCGACTTAAAAGACATTTTGGTCGCTGTATGTATAGTTTTTGGCAACTAAAAAAAAATTTAGTTCGTGAAGAAAACAAAATTTTTCTTTTTTATCTTCGTGACCAAAGTTTGGTCGGCAAAAACTTTAATTTCAGCGACTAAAAGAATTTTGGTCGGCTGTATGTATAGTTTTGGCACTAAAAAATTTCGTCGGTGAAAGAAAAATAAAAATTTATTTTTTATCTTTCGCGACCAAGAAGCTTGGTCGGCCAAAAAATTAATTTCAGCGACTAAAAGACATTTGTCGCTGTATGTATAGTTTTGGCAACTAAAAAAATTAGTCGCTGAAAGAAAATAAAATTTTCTTTTTTATCTTTCGCGACCAAAAGTTTGGTCGGCAAAAACTTTAATTTCAGCGAGCTAAAAGACATTTTCGGTCGCTATAAGTGTAATGTTATTGGCAACTAAAAAAATTTCGTCGCTGAAAGAAAATAAAAATTTATTTTTTATCTTTTGCGACCAAGAGTTTGGTTTGCAAAACTTTAATTTCAGTGAGCTAAAAGACATTTTGGTCGTTGTATGTATACTTTTGGCAACTAAAATATTTTCGTCGCTGAGGAGAAAAATAGAAAATTTATTTTTTATCTCCGCGAACCAAAATCTTGGTCGGCAAAAATTTAATTTCCGACGACTAAAAGACATTTTGGTCGCTGTACTTGTATAGTTTTGGCAACCTAACAAATTTATCGCTGAAAGAAAAATAATTGGATAATTTATTTTTTATCTTTCGTGACAGAAGTTTGGTCGGCAAAACTTTAATTTCAGCGACTAAAAGACATTTGGTCGCTGTAATGTATAAGGGTTTGGCACTAACAATTTAGTCGCTGAAAGAAAAATAAAAATTTATTTTTTATCTTTCGCGACCACAAGTTTTGGTCCGGCAAACTTTAATTTCAAGCGACTAAAAGACATTTTGGTCGCTGTATGTATAGTTTTGGCACTAAAAATAATTTCGTCGCTGAAAAGAAAAATAAAATTTATTTTTTATCTTTCGCGACCAAAAGGTTTTGGGTAGGATTGGTTTTTTCCGCAAAACTTTAATTTCAGCGACTAAAATATATTTTGGTCGCTGTATGTATAGTTTTGGCAACTAAAATAATTTTGTCACTGAAGAAATAAAATATTATTTTTTATCTTCCGCGACAAAAAATCTTTGGTCGACAAAAAATTTAATTTCGGCGACTAAAATAATATTGTTGGTCCGCTGTATACATGCTTTGGCAACTAAAATATTAGTTCGTTGAAAAAAAAAAATAAAAATTCGCTTTTTTCTATCTTGGCGAGCAAGATTTTGGTCGCAAAAAATTAATTTCAGCGACTAAAAAATATCTTTAGTCGCTATATAGAATAGTTTTTGGCAACAACATAATTTAGTCGGCTTAAATGAAAAATAAAAATTCACTTTTTTCCTTTGGCGACCAAATTTTTGTTCGGCCCAAAATTTAATTTGCAGTGACTAAAAAATATTTTAAAGTAGTTGTATAGATAGTTTTAGCAACTAAAATAATTTAGTCGCTGAAAGAAAAATAAAATTACTTTCCTCGTTACTCCTTTCTCTCTCTTTCTATCTATTTGTCCTCTCTGTTTTCTCTCTGTGTCTCTACCTCTGTCTCTCTTCTCTTTTTCTCTCTCCTCCTCATCATTTTCTCTATCTGTCTTGTCTCTCTCTGTGTCTCTATTTTTGCTCCTCTGCTCTGCTCTTTCTCTTTCTCTCAGTCTGTCTGTCTGTCTGTCTTTCTGTATGCTCTCGCTTACCTCTTTTCTCTATCTCTTCTCGTCTCTCTCTGTCTCTCTTCTTTTATCTCTTCGCTCATCTCTTCATGTATCTCTCTTGTTTATCTCTTTTCGGCTCTTTTTCTCTCTCTCTCTCTCTGTCTGTCTCTTTTCACCCATTTTTTCATCTTCTTTCTTCTATTCTTTTTCTCTCTCTTACTCATCACTCTTCTCTGTTTGTCCTAATCTATTCTGTCTCTCTCTGTTTATGTGTCTCTCACTCATCTATTCTTCTCTCATCTCTTTTCTCTCTCTGTCTCTTTCGTTCATCTCTCTTGTCTTATCTCTCTTGTTCATCTTCTTCTCTCGCTCTCTCTCATCTCTCTTTCTCTCTGTCTCTATTCACTCATCTCTCTATCTCTATCTTCTCTCTCTGTCTCTCTCATTCATCTCTCCTTCTCTCTTGTTTCCTAGCTCCATCTCTCCTTCTCTCTATCTCTCTCTTGTCTATCTCGTTCATCTCTTCTCTCTCTGTCTCTTTTTCTGACTCTCACTCTCTATCTCTTTCTCTTTTGTCTCTTTCGCCTTGTCTCTCTCTCACTCGTCACTCTTGCTCTGTCTGTTTGTCTTGTCTCTGTCTTTTGTCTCTTTTTGTCTTTGTGCCTCTCGCTCATGGGCTGCTCTCATCTCTCTCATCTTTTTTTCTTTCTCTATCTCTCTCTCATTCATCTGCTCTTCTCTATGTCTTCCTACTCATCTGGATTCTCTCTCTGTCTCTCTTTTTTTCTATGTCTTTCTCTCGATATCTCTTTTCGTTCTCTTTCTTTCTCTCTTTGTGCTATCTCTCACTCGCATCTATTTGTTTCTTCTGTCTGTGTCCTCTTATCTCTTCTGCTCTCTGTCTCTCTCTCTCTCTGTCTATCTCTCTGTCTCTCTTTCACTCATCACTCTTCTCTCTATATGTGTTTTCTCTATCTCTTGTTCATTTCTTTTTGTTGTCTCTCTCTCTTCTCTTCTCTGCGTCGTTGTGTCTTATCTCTCGTTTTTTTTCTTTCTCTCTGTCTCTCTGTCTCGTCACTCATCTCTCTTTTCTTTTCAAATCAAACTCATCTCTTTCTCTGAGCCCATTGTTGTTAAAGAGGAAAAAGTCAAAAATGAAATGGGTTTTTCTCTATCTCTCTCTCTCTGTCTCTCGCTCATCTCCTTGCTCTCTCTCTTTCCACCATCTCCCTTCTCTAATCTCTCTCATCTCTTTTCAATTACTTATTTTTTTTACAATTTTTATTTTTCCAACTTTTTCAATTATAATGGTGTATGATCCCATCGTCATAAATAATAATAAAAATATAAAATATTTTAGGCCTAGACAAACATATTTTTTAGTTTATATTTTAATTTTTATTATTAAACATTTTGTTCAAACCAAATGCGTTTGTAATTTATGTTTTCTAAAAATAAACAAAAAACCAATTATAAATTTAGGGAAAAATATTTTTCATAAATATTACCTACTACTTTCTTACCGAAAGTAAAAAAATAAAATAATTTTTTATTCATAATAAAATACAAAATGAAACAAATAAAATTTCAACTTTAATTACTAAAAATAAAATATAAATCATTAACTATAAAAAAAATTATTTTAACA